AAAACCTCAGTACTAAATACAAAGTATTTGGTAAAGGTCTAATGCTGTTCACGGAAGAAAAAAAAACTCAGCAAAGAAAAAGAAATCATAGGCATTCAGTTTGGAAAGAAGGACATAAAATACTTTATCTGCAGATAATATGATTATATGTAGAAAACATTAGTTTAATTCAGGAAAGCTGAAGGAAAAAGTCAATATACAAAAATCAGTTGTCTCTCTACATTCTAAAAGTGAACAAAGTTGAAATTTTAAAAATATTATAGTAATAGAAAAATATGTAGATTTGGGGTATTGAAGAAAAATGGTTAATATTAAAAAATCAATTATCTTTCTATATTCTAAAAGTGGACAAAGGTGAAATTTTTAAAATACAATATATAGTAATATAAAAACATGCAAGTCCTGGGTAGTGACATCAGCAACAGAGGTGTAAAAGGTCTCCAGCTCTAGTCTCTCTCACAGAAATATCAACTAGCAACTATACACAAATAGGAATGCCTTTTCAAAATTTCCAGAACCTGAAGGAGAGACTAAAGAACCCCTGTAGAGGTCAAAATATGAGAAAAGTCACATTAGGAAGGTAAGAGGACAGCTTCACTTTCATTATGTTGCTACTCCCCTAGGATAGCACAGCCTCGAATCAAGAGGGATTCCCCTGGGTGTACAGTTTTTCTAAAAGGAAAAAGGGAATATGAGACAGGCATCCAGCTTCCCTAGCATTCTATGGTGCTACCCAGGAAGCTCTCTTCTATCTTACTCCCTAGGAAACAATGAGGTAATTGGGCTAGACTACCTGAGGTTAAATATGAGTATGAGTGATAGCAACCAGTGTATTGATCTTAGCAATGGCACAACATCACTTCTGAAAGCTTCATCAGAGCAAGAAGTGAGTTAGCAGTCAGACAGGGCTACTGGCTGGAATGCCTGATTGAGTGGGGATGATCCTCCTACCTGCAGAGTGGTACTGAGATGTCACCTGGCCAACAACCATAATCAGAAGTCCTGCCTCTTGGTTCTCTTACCAGCAGTCCAGACCAGCTTCAGACTATGTCCTCCCATCTAGGGCTCCTAGTCAATGATCTTACAAAACTTTGGGGCACATCCTGCAGCCTTACCCAACCAGAGAGTCCAGTCACAGCCATGTCTAACTGCAAGGTACAACCTGCAGCACCATCCAACTGCAGAGCACAACCAGCAGCCTCCCTCAATTGTTTAGTGGGGAGCAACCTATTTCCTCACTCAACCAAAAGCAAGTGGGGGTAAGATGAGGAAAAACTGGAGCATATATATATCCGCATATTAGTGTAGGGAAAACAAAATGATCAAGTAGTCTGGAAAAAAGTCTGGTAGTTCCTTATAAAGTATATACTTAAAATATCATACAGCAATTCTACCTCTCGCTATCTACCCAAAACAAAAGACATACATAAAGCAGTTTTACTCATGTTACCCCAAAGTAGGAAAAAATTCAAATCTCAAACAGATGAATGGATACACAAATTGTGATATATCCATACAAAGGAAGGCCCTGGGTTCAATCCCCAGCACTTCCTCAAAAAAAGAATGCTATACAAATGGCATCACATAGTACATAATTCTTAGGATAAATATCACATGATTTCCCTTATGTGCAAAACCTAAAATACAAATAAGGAACAAAATAAAAGATAAGATGATAAAATGCATGGAGGTAGATGTCGTGGAGAGGTGAAAGTGATCTGGAGACTGGGGAGAGAAAAAGAGGGTGGAAAGGAGGAGGGGAAGTAAAAATGATCAACATACAATATGTATATATACCAATTCCCCAAGGGAAATGTAATTGTTAGGTACTACAAGCATGTACTAGTAAAAAACAAAACAAAAACAGGAATGAACAGCTGATACACAACATGGAGGAATCTCAAAAACACTGTCACATTAAAGAAGCTTTATTTGAAAAAGTAAATACTGTTGTACATATTCCTTGTATGAACTCTAGAAAAGACTAATCTAACCTACAACAGAAAGCTAGAGAGGACTGACTGGAATAGGTGCACCTGAATTTTTTTTTTTTAAAGACAGGTTTTTGCCATGTAGTTCAGGCCAACCCTGAACTCACTCTGTAGACCAGCCTGGTCTCAAACTGGCAGCAACTCTCCTGCCTTAGCCTCTTGAGTGCTAGGATTACAGGTGTGCGCCATCACACCCAGCACACACTGGAACTTTCCTTTGTTGGAGACAGGGCCTTGCTAGGCATAGGCAGTTCAGGATGGCCTCAAACTCACTATGTAGTCCAGGCTGGCCTTGACTTGCAGCAATACTCCAGCCTCCGCCTCCCAAGTGCTGGGATTACAAACATGCACCACCACATCTGGCTGGAACTTTTAAGAATAATGAGAATGCTATCTGAATTTTTGTGGTGGTGATTCATGTGTACAAAACTGTCAAAATTCAACAAAATGTACAATTTAAATGGGTATACTTCATCATATGCTAACTGTACAATATTAAAGTTGATTATATTAAAGAACCCTTAACATGGAGTATAAAATCTCACATGATCAAGAGACCTAGCTTCCTCTCACAGTTAACTCTGGTGCTGCTAAACTTTCTCATGCTCTGGACATGTACACATGCTGTTTCCTACTCTCACCCAACAGATTTCTGCTTCCCTGTTAGATCTCGGATCAAGGAACTTTCTTCAGAAAATGTTCCCAGACACCTTAGTTTCAGTCCCTTTGTTAGTTGCTACTCTTACTCCCTGTAAGTGCAAAACAAATGAAAGTGACATTTGGTCCTGAATGGACACTAATCAGGAACAAAGCAGATATTCATTTATCTCCACTGCCCACAAATGAAGTCCTGCTACATCTGAGAATATGAACACTATGAAGAAAAACTGATTTGTGGATAGGACATCACTATCACATGTTTTGACAAGAAAACCAAAGTATTATACCCAGAAGTCTGGTCTAATCCTGTTTGGGCACAGATCTACTTCTAAGATCATCCAATATAAGTGCAATACTCATAGAATGAAAGAATGGCTCCAGGTATCTAAGTCTAAATTATACAAACCTAAAAGTAAATCGTGCTCCCTTGAATCCTTTAAAAAACAGTAATGGTCTAGACCCTGATTTTCATAGGTAATCTCTTGAATTCCATCAGATTTTAACCTGATTCTTTCTTTATACCAACACTACCTAATCAGGACCAGTCTCTCTACATTAGTATCAACACCCACAAACCAATCCAGTTTCTGGCATTATAAGAAGTATGGCTTCAGATAGCTGTATAATCTGTTTTAAGGTAAAGAGTTTTAACTTCAGCTCTATAATTATCCACATGGATGCTAATAATTATCCACATGGATGTAATTTATTTGACTTCTCTAAATGTTAACTTTTTCATTTTTATTATTTCAGCTTAAAGGGTAAGTCTTCAGATGTGGATTAATCAATAATCTATTTTCTATAGCTTTCCATACTTTTTCTTTAATATAGATTATAGCACTAAGGTTAGAAACCATCTTTTTCATAGTTAAGATGCATTTACAACAGTTTCACATTTAATAAAGTTGAATACTGTAAGTGAATCTAATTTTTTTAATTCACATCAAACAATCTCATGTAGCATTCTGAACAGTTTATTACTAAGCAAACTTTCATGGTACTCATTATTCAATAATTTTTAAAAAATTAAATATGCAAATAATATTTAATAATTCACCCTATTTACCCACATATACATATACATATATACAAACATACACACAGGAGTATTGGAGAACATACATGCATAAGCTGGGGAAAAGCTTTTTCCCAAGTCTTTAAAAAGTAGAATTTACATTAAAATAATTTATGGTTATTAAAATAATGAAAATCCACTTTCTATACAGCTCCTTTATTGACTGTTAGGCAAATCTGAATAATCTTGTGGCTCACAATGATAAAGCCTTTGATAGCGATAACAATTGCACTATCAAAAAAAAAAAAGGAGGAAGCAAAAGCAGGATGAAAGTAGGGATGGAAAGGGCAGAAGGAAAAGAATCTCATAATAAAAACATTAAAAGATGCTCAGGCGACTGAGTTTTATATATTGCTCATATAATGCTCATTACAGTATGCTGCAAAACCAAACAGTCCACAGTAATAAAAGCTGACTCGAGCTAGTTATAATAATCTTATGAAAGATGAAAACAGTAATAATTTTAAAGTATATAAAGGCTGAGCCATGATAATTTTTTAATATAGAAATGGGTAAGTGGCTTCTATTTGTTCACTGTGCTGGTGCTTGCTTTTGCCACACTGCATTTTGATTATTACTGTTTTGAAGCAGCAAGTATATTAAAACTTGGGCAAGTGAGAGTTAACAACAGACAACATGGAAAATATTTCTATCATTCAACAGAAATTCCACCCTGATTTTACAAAACTGACACTACTAGAGTTTAAATTATTTTTCCGTGTTTCTTTCTTTACTACAAAACAAAAACTACATGTCACATATTAATATTGCCTAATGTAATGGTGTCATGGAATCTTAATTTTGTTCATTTAATATAACAATGATTTTATAATCTTAGTGATGAGCCAAAGAACATACTCAGATAATGTAACTTACCTAATATTGCAAGCAGAAATAACTGTGACAATTAGGTATTTCCTGGAAATATTTTCATTTTAACTTTGTAAGTACAGTAGATGATATTTCTGTATCCTGTCTCCTTTAAGTAATTGTACATAAAGGCTAGACAAGCTGTTTTATAATCAGACTATGTATTTTTATTATGTTCCTACTTTACAGGTCACATGACAGGTTTCTAAGAAAAACAAAGTAATTATTACACTAGCTGGGCAACTTGTATGTTAGCTAGATGTGGATTTTTCACTCAGTTGACTTTGACTTCGAATATTATTTGGTCTTTTTGAGGAATATTATTGCTACTTAAGTAATTATCTTGACATTAGAAATGAAAGATAGAAAGTGTATTATTATATGAACAGAACAAAAGGTCCTACCTGTTTTAACCTCATGAAGAAAGTCTCTGTGAAAGTCTTTCTGCTGAAATACCAAAATCGCTCATTTGCAGGGTACACACGAACTACTGTTTCCAGGAGAAAGCGGACAGGCTCCACCACCTCCGTGACTACCATATCCACTGCCACAGTCATGTATACTCGTTTATCTGTAGTAGAAATTTTCTAGGTTTTATGGTGGTTTTATTACTCCATTATTTAAGAATGTAACATTTTCTCACTTATGAAAGAACAGAGGTTCCTTATCATTACATTACCTACTATATTTTTAGTAACACTTTAGGTAATCAAGTAGTCCAAGTATATTTCTCAAGCACTAATGACTCTATCTCAGTCAAATATCCAAAACTCTCAGCAGCTGTCTTTTTCCATATTCCAAATCAAATTCATAACAAAAATAAATTAAAAAACTGGGCTGGGGATGTAGCCTACTGAAAGAATACTTATTAGTATGGGCAAGGCCCTGGATTCAATGTCCAGCATCACATACATACATACATATTTATTTTACCCTAAAACTACCAAATTTCTTAACTCTGGAAAATCAGAGATTTTTCATTCCATCTTAAAAAAGAGAAATAAAAGAAATTGTTAGGTTTATTTAATGAGTTATTTGGGGAGTACTGTCAAATCAACAGAGATGCACAGCTTCTCCATGTTAAACTTGTATAGGCAAAACATTATTGATATCAGACATTTTCATGCTTTATGCTTTAAGAGAAATCCCTGGAGATTTGTCAGAACCCTCATTGTTCATAACATATTTGCCCTCAGGAAATCATTAACAAAGCTCCAGTTAAATACTTATGTGCAGTTTTCATATATATGTATGTGTTGGTGTATGTGTGCATACATGTATGCACATATACCTATGATATTTACATATGAGACCTGACATGCTTTGATCCAACAGCAATATAGTGCTATTAGCCTAAATCCTAGTTATTATACAAAGTGTTTACTCGGTCACAGATTATATTTAATTTGTACATAGAATCTTTTAGGGTGGTTTCCACTGGTTTTCATTATGATAGGTCAAAATATGGATTTCACTTTATGTTATATACCTGCTTGATATTCAGTGGGGTTTTTGAACCTATAGCCTAGTCATTCCATACGATTTTATATTTTGAAATTTGTCCACAATTTTTAGTTCTTAAAGAAAAATCCAAACAATCAAGCCCACTATTAGAAGAAACGTTCAATAGTATTTTTAAGGCATTATAGAACATTTATACTCATCAACAGAACTTTGATTGATATACATATTTTACTTGCCAATTCAAGACAAAGTAAGATTCTCTAGATATTGTGCTTGTCCTAGAGGACTTTAAAGGGAATAATGAAGAGAGGTAAAAAAAAGTAACAGAAGACATGAAATATACTACTCAACTAGATCTCAGTGCAGAAAAGATCCAAGACATATGATTTCTCAGGGCCTAAATTTCTTCCATAAAAACCACGTGTTATTTGACTCATGAATTCTCGGAATAATGTGTAATTTCAAGGACACCATTTGCAAATTTTGGAGCAACATGCTTATGTACCACATAAAGTAATTTTTAAAATTTGAAACATAATAATTAAGACCTGAGTATTACTATAATAGAGCATTACAAAATTTTATTTTAATCAAACAAATTATAAACAAATTGTCATTTATGTGAGATTAAACATATTAAAATACAAAACAAAACTGAAGTTTGAGTTACATTAAAAACAGATAAAATTACTTTTACAAGCTGGTATTTGAAATTCTTATATTTTATTCTTCAAAAATTTCAACCGGCTTATTTTTCTCATCTCTGTATTTTCTTTCTGAATAATTTTAAGAAAGAAGTTTACAAACCTATCTCCAAAAATAAACTCTGAGTATAAAAATCCTCTATTGCTAAAATATAAAAAGCTAAGTTTTATATGATCTTTTTTCTCTGTTTAGTCTTTACTTTTAGACAGCTTATTATGTGATCAATGCATGCAATTTATTCAACTGGTAAATATTCTCTTTAAGGAAAACAAAATATAATTTTAATATTCTTCATTAACATACTATATTTCTATAACAATATTCACTAATGCTTCCTCTCATTAACCAAAAGTCTCCTGTGGATATAAACTAAGTAATATTAAAGTAAAGATAATACAAATTGATCTATCATATTCCAAATATAAATACTTGGTAGAATGACAACAGGCAGTTAGAGTGCCTCAGTGACTAGGACTTAGCAAGTAAAACCTTAAATTTAGTTAAAATGCAGATGATAAAAGGACAAAAAAATAGGCAACTAACAAGTACCTGAATGAAGTAGTAATTAAAAAAGATAATGGAAGAAATGAAAAATGTTATTATTTAATATTTATAAATTTCTATCAAACTAGACATATTAAAATTAAAAGGCAGTAACCCAGGGGGGAAAATGCTTGCTACAAAAAACATCTTTAATATACACTAATAGAATCTCCAAGATCAAAAGATAAGAATGCATAATTAATAAGTGAAAAATATAAGTAATCTCTACACTTGATATTAGCCAAAAGGCCAAAAAGCGATTATAGATAATATCTAAAATAAAAAGTTGAAACAATAATCAAAGAAATGCAAAATTCTAGCATTTGTTTGCTTTTATCAACTGTATAGAGACACATGAAACACAAAGCCCAAATGACTTCTATGTAATCTAATCAAATTAATTCACATGTCTTTTGGAGAAATTCTCTCAAATGGTAGGGGTTCTCTCTGGAAGCATGGAGTATTAAAAGCAATCTCAAATTCTAAATAAGAGTATCCTTATTTTAAATAAGCATCAGGATTTTTAAAAATATAACAAGACTGCTCATAATATAAAAATTTTTTAAATAATAAAAGATTTTTTAAGGAAAGTCACCTTTTGGTGTTTCTTCATTAAGTGCCAGAAATATTGGTGCATTAGGGTTCCACATGCCAGTGATAACATAGGCTTTCCCATCATAACTCTTCCCCATGGATTCCTAAAAGTTAAAACAGCAGTCAGTGACAATTTGCACATCAATAAAATCACCATTTTACATTATATCTTACTTAAAGCAATCCAACTTACTAAAATTTAGATTTACACTCAGAGGCTTTACTTTTATTATAAATTTTTTAATCCTTTCAAAGCATTTCTTTAAATATTATATCCCCCTACAGCTTTCCTCAAACACAATTCCTATGTAAAGATATGTATCCCTCAGATAGACGGAGACACATACACATTGAATCACAAAAACATAATATTAAATATAATATATGCTATACATTATATGTATAGCATGAAATTAAAGTAATATTTAATTTCACCTTATGCTAGTTGTCAAAAGTTCTCTGTGCACACAGAGATACAAATAGTCTCCACAGGGGCTGGGGATTTAGCTCAGCGGCAAAGCGCCTGCCTGGCAAGCACAAGGTCATGAATTTGGTTTCTGGTACCGGAGAAAAACCAAAAAAACCAAAAAAAAAAATAAAAAATAAAAAATAAAAACAAATAGTCTCCACAGAAACTGCAATACAGAATTAACTGAAGAAAGACTGATTTCATAGCTAATCATGGACTCAAAAGAGAGTATTTGTCTTTCAATGCTCTAATTTAGTATATCCTTAAAATAGCAATTTACTTTATAGCAATTAATACCTTAAATATTACTTTTCTATTTTTTATATGTCAGATACTCATGCACTCCCTTACAATCATAGATCAATCTCAGGAAACTAATAATAGTTTGCAATCAATACTCAAGTTTTTTGACTCTTCCTCTCCCTATCCTTACAGTGACTCTCTTCTTCCCATCTCTTCTTCCTCTTCACTGCCTCCATTGTAAGACTCAGATAGTAAATACTTGATTCTCCCTAAAGAAGCTAGTAAGTACTACAGCCAAAGCAAAGCCACATACAGATTGAGTACCTGTGTAGGGAGAGGAGGATGAAGGGTGCCCAACAAGGAAAACTGCACAAAAGCATACAAATATGTACATATGCAAAAGGAAAGTATCTACAGTACTTTGAATTTTCTGTATTTCCACATAGCATGAACAAAGTGCTAGAACGGTCAGATCAAAACAAAAACTTTTTTCCGTTATCACGCCCTCACAGATGCTTCTCTGAATCCCTACAAAATTGTGCCAGTGATTTGGTAATGGCTATGTACATTTTCCTACTGTATCAGTAATAATTCACTAATCAGGCAGTACAGCTCTTAGGCTGATACCCTTGCATTCCAGACAAGAAGTATGTTTAAGGCCATCTGAAAATGACACCTTCCTCAGCACCTCATAATCAGTCAAAATCAATCTATCTCCCTCAATATCTCTCTTCTCCTGCTCTTTTATACACACACACACAGCATGTGTGTGTGTGTCTGTGTGTGTGTGTATACCATGAGTCCCTTAACCTCCCACTTTCCTTCTGAATCAGGTCCCCATTCCAAACAGGAATGGATTTCTGACCCACGAATCCCAAACCATTCCTGGGCCAGAACTTTTGCTGTACTTGAGTCCAAAAAGATAAAAGATGAGCTGGACAAAGTATGATAATCCCTCTTTCAATTAATACATATCAAGGAAAGCAGGAAGTTAGAAGTGGAGGCTGAATGCACTTACTGAGAAGCCAGGCTGTGAGGGGCCACATATAAAGTTGTGTTATTAAAGTACAAAGTAGGAAAAAATACATAAAAAATAGCAGAGTATTAAATATTTGATAAGTGGTAAAAGAGAAATGGAGAAAATAAATGTAAAAAAAACACTAAATGACTAATAAGTAAGCAAAAAACAAAAACAGATACTGGGAGGCTGGAAGGGAAGGGAGAAGCACAGGGCGGCAGCTAGAAAAGAAAAGGGCAAGGGGACAAAGCAGAAGAGAAAATAGCAGAGTTTGCCACACATGTAAGGATTCAAGACTGCCTGGCGTACTGGATAAAGTGTGAAATGCATTTGCAACTGTGGGTCAAGCTTCTGATCTAGTGTCAATAAGCACTTAATTGTAAAGATTGGCAAAACTTCCTGAAGAATCTCTAGGACTCAAATTGAAAACTGTGATTCAGTTCCAAGAAACCTGGTTCTATTGGGTTTTCTGCTTTTTTGAAAATTGCCGTTAGTCTTCTCCTAGGTAACATCATAGCTATAGGTAAAAAAAAAATTATTGACCTTATTCCTACACAAGTTCCTTGACCAAATATATTGTCCTTATTAGAAGAAAATTCTGTCTGTACTACTTGTATTCCCCCTAAACTAATTTTGGTTTTTTGGGTTTTTGTTTTGTTTTGTTTTGTTTTCCCCCCGGTACCAGGAATCAAACTCACAACCTTGCACTTGCCAGGCAGGTACTGTGCCGTTGAACTAAATCCCCAGCCCCCTTAAACTACTTTTGGGAATATGTGATTTTATTTATATGTGTGTATAATTGTCTATTTTACTAAAAAAAAAAACTTCATGTATGACTTTCTCTTTAATAAAGATCTTAAACTACATTTATAGATTTATTAAACTAGAAAACTCACAATTCACCTTGCTTATTAGAAAATACTCTCAAGAAGGAAAAAAATCAGTACTGCTTAAAAATTGCTCAAAATAAAAAGCAAAGTTCCAAATTAAATTAAATGTAACTACATGCTTTCTCAAAGTCTATCAGAAGAAAGTGGTACAAGATTTGGTTTCAGTTTTGCATGACATTTGGGTGTGTCCAAAAAGAGCAGAAGTGAGCCAGGTGTGATGGCACACACCTGTAATCCCAGCACTTGGGAGGCTCAGGCAGGAGGATCGTCATGAGTAAAAGCCTACCATGGGCTACATAAGGGAGTTCAAGGCCAGCCCGCACTACATAGTGAGACCCCGTCTCAAAAAAAAAAAAAAAAAAAAGAGCAGATGTATTGACCCCCTTGGTTCTAGAAGCCAGAACAAGACTAATTAGGCAAAATTACTAGGAATTTGATTTCAGCTGATTACCCAGAAATAACTTTATAATGAACAATACTATTCCTCAGGCTTCAATATAAGGTAATGAGTTCCTTTTTATGAGATTTAATCTAGCCAAGGATCAATGCCTGTATTTCAAGACATCATAAAGATTAACATCACTCGTTAGTAATACATCACAACTGTTGATAATTGCAAATGCAAGCCTTCCTATGTGCCCATTTACTGTGTAGCTTAAGCATACTTCTCTTTCCAGAAGCATGACTACTGATAGGCCTTTGACTTTGATGCCTCAAAGGTGGAGGATCTCTCTGTTAAGTTAGGACAAAAGAACCTCAGAAAGTCATACCAGTTCTGTAATTTTATAATCTAGATTTAGACTTTATAGACAAATCTCTACCAGTGATTCATCTTAATCTTTTAAGCTCTGAAAGACCATAATTAGGACCCAGAATCTTAGACGTTTTTGTTGCCCCAACATTCCCAAAATACCAGTTCCTCATGGAACTTTCACAGCTCTAAAATGGTATGGCTTGTCTTAGGTAAAACCACACTCATTAGTGGTATGTTGTAGAGATGGACAGATCAGTAACTAATTTATGTTTTCTCATTCAATGTAACCACTGTCCTTACTTGACCTATCCAGGCAGCACTTGCTATACATTTCCATGGTTCACTGCTCCAACAGAGAGAGCACTGTACCCATTACTGTAGTGTCTTGGTTACACTTCTCTCATTGCTGAGACAAAATACCTGATGCCCAAAATTAAGGAAGGAAAGGTTTATTTAGCTCACAGTTTCTGGAGGTTTCAGTCCATACTCAGCTGGCTCCAAGGAAGAGTGGCACATGGCAGAGGGCAACAGTTCATGGTAGCAGAAAACAGCAAAAGCAACAAGAGCAAAAGGGAGGAGTGGCGGCAAGCAGCCTCTTCCTCTCCCTTACACTGTATGCAAACTATCTGCCCCAGGGCAGGTGTAGCACTCACACCCATGAATCAATCATAAACTCTAGAAGCCTGCCCCATGGCTGCATGAGGCTTTGGGAGGACATCCAGAACCAAACCATAACATGTAGTTACATACTTAAAAGTTCTGTTTCCATGACAAGACTATGAACCTACAGATGGAAAAAGCTGTAGTTTACTCATATCTGTAAGCCCAGCACTTTACACGATGCTTGGCACACAAACAGGTACAAAGATGCCTGCAAAAAGGCATTCTAGTATTATTAGATCAGGGTTGATATTGCTATGAAGTAATTGAAAGAAAAACAACATAATCAGTGATATTTAACTGAAATTTACTAAGCACAGTTGAAAAGGAAGAACACATGTAGTGTCTATTATCAATGAATAGAAAGTTTTCAGTTCACTAAAGAACATTATATTCACTCTCAAATGACTATTTCCTATAAGATTTCTATATTATAAAGTAAATGTTTATATTAATTGCAATATTAGAAGGTGCATCTAATACTGTGCAAAAGTTAAAATGGCTTGCCACTTTTATATCAAATACTAACTCTTGAAAAAAAAAAATATATATATATAATAACCTTTAAGGGCATTCTTTAAGTAAATATAGTAAATATATTTTGCTAGGAAAACAGAATCCAGGAGAAGTTCAGGAAGAGAAATACCTTAAAGAAAACAGGCATCATCATAACCCTCAAATTAATAATGCATTTTTTAAAAAATGAAAGGCACCATATTCAATTTGGAGATACTTGTTATAATCATATTCTTGTTATTTTAGGCTCAAAGAAAAGACATCTTAAGAAGTCCAACACATGAATAGATGGACATTTTCATAACACTATTCTTTTATTTGCTTTCAAACTGCATGACTTTTTTGGTTGAAAATTTCCTAACTCCCTCCCTCATAAGTAATTTTAAATCAGCTACCAAATTTCATTATTATTATATGCAGTAAGGGGAAACAATCCTGACAATACGACAAGCTTTTAAAATAAAAAGTACTTTAAATCTGTAAAATAACTACTATCTATACTTGGTCAAAGTGCTTAAGATTATCATTACCATATCCAGTAAATGCATGTCACTGTTCTTCACGTTTCGACCTGGGCTTAATAACATTCCAAAACATCTGAAAATATTGAGGGGGGGAAAAAAGGAGAAATAAGGTATCAAGATATAGAAGCCCAGAGAGCAAAACGCTTTCTTAATAATTATACAATCTTAATTCTGAATTACAAATATTTTTTGTTATAGGAAGACCAAAAGTAAGAATTTATTAAGATACAAAATAAAATCACACAGAAATCATAGAAATGAGTTATCAAAATTCCTGAATTTTATATGTAAAATATTACCAAGATCAGAAATTGCCATAAGAATGTCCATAAATTGTTGACTAAGAAAGAAAACAAGGTACTGAATACAAATTCATTTCTAGGGAGATAAGAGACTTTATTTGCCTATAATTATTCGAAACAAATAGGTCAAGATCAGAGAATCCAGCTAAATAAAATATGAGGTTTTAAAAACTAAGCACAAGACACTGTGTTCCCTGCTATTGTATTAGTGACTATGTTATCAACACACTTTCTGTTGCTAGAAAGCTTTCAGGAATCCTACCAATGCTACCAAAATATCGTAACTCTTTTTGATAAGCTTTAAAATTCAGCTAAGTCTAAATTTTTTTATATTTTTTAGGCTACATTAACTCTACCTTTCTGGTAAGCAAAGTCCAGAAAAGTTAAACAATTTACCCATATTCAAGCTGCTATTAAATCAGTATTATACCTCAAACAGCAATATAAACTGTCCTAAGTGTCCCTCTCACAACAATGCTTACTCACACGTAATAGTTTTTATCATAGTCTCCCAACAGCCAAGATATGTTGCACAGTGTTTTATAGAAAGGGTAAAGAATGTAACTAAATTAAACATAAGATGTTTTAAATTTCAGAAAGTGGCAGTTCTATGCTGCCATAAAGAAGGATAAACTTGAGTTCTTTTTAAGAAAATGTATGCACCTTGAGACCAGAGACCCCTAAGTGAAATAAATCATCCACACAAGGTTAAATATCATATGATTTCTCTCATATGAGATAACCAAAGAGCAAAATAAAACACAGCTAGTAGGAAACAAGAAGATCTTTTGCAAAATGGAAGGGAACCAAGAGATGAAGGGAGAGGAAAGGAGGGGAAAAAAAAGGGCTTAAAAGAATTAAGGTGTTATGTACATGTACCAACTCCCCACAATGAATGTAATCATTATGTACTGCAAACATGTACTGATAAAAATAATTTTTTAAAAAGCTGCAGTTGGCCAGTCAACAGTTCATTTTTCCTAGTAACATAGTCTTCTCTTAAATGAACAAGATAGGTAATTCACCTGATGCAAGTATGAGTTTAGTAAATATACATCTCAGTGAATACATAAGGATACCTTGCCCAAGACTTCCTTTTGGCATCAAAAAGTGATCATGCATATAATGAAAGATAAAGTTTACGAGCTCCAAGGACAACTATCTAAACATATTATTGTACTAATAAATATCATCTTCTATAATTTAATTTTACCCTATTCATTTCACTATGATTACTACATACCACTAGGATCTCTCATATAAACTCAAATAATAAACAGTCTATATAAATTGTTGCCTTAAATTTTTGGTAAGAAACAATAAAAGACTTACTTCTTTTTCAGATATAAATCTGGTCTCCTCAAGTAAGGCCAATGAGGACAAATTTGTTTCTCATTTTCCTACATACTTTTGCTCAACTTGCACCTCTCCTCGGTTTTTGCTTTTGCTTTTAAACAATTCTCTATATTATAAAGCTTTCAAGTTACAAAAATATTATACGCTCACTATAATAAGTTAACCAATACCAACATGCTATGTATTTTAAAAATAGTAACTTTGTCCATCTATCTCAGCCCCTTTTGGAATCAAAGGTAACAAGTTAAAATTTATTCTCTGAACATTTTTTCAGCTTCTTTTGAAAATCTATAAATACAATTTTGTTTTTCAAGCACTGCCAAGGATAAAATGGATCAAATTTTACATTTTCAAAGCGTAATATTCCCATATTATAAACTCTACCACAAAAGGATCCTTAGAAGTTTGAATTTTCCTGAAATGGCAATATTTATCACCTTAGTTTGATGATCTTTGATGTACTGCTCTAACTTGCAAAATATCCTGCCACCAACCTGCACTGTGACTTTCCAGAAAGTACCCAGCACCCTTGGGCCTCTGCTGCTTCTTCTAGAAAACAGAAGAGGTGTCATATATGAACTTTAGCGCCCCAAGCACTAAAGTTACATAATTTTTCTATCAAGCTGTATTAGTCATTTCCAAAATTATACCTCATTAAAGCACATCAGGCTTCCAATAAGACCAGCAAGAACTATTACGAATAATGTCAGGATTTAGGTATTATTAGTAACATAAACATCTAATTTGAATATTAAATGGTTCACTGGACAATTCAAAGCATTTGACCTGGACCATTAACTCCAAAGTAAGGTTAAAAAAAAAAAAAAAAATATATATATATATATATATATATATATATACACACACACATATATATATATATATATATATATACACACACACATATATATATATATATATATATATATACAGCTATCCCACTGATTTTCTAAGTTCAAAATAGAATAGAGGAAGAAAGTAAGCAAACAGACTATAACAATCTAGTATGGTACATTCCAAGATACCTGTAAGTATTGAATATTAAAGCAGATAGGGGACACACAACATTATTTATAATAAGAAACAGCTGACCTAACCCAAAATTTGAAATCAATCCTGAAAATAAGATGGTATTGTCACAAGTAATAATAAGCATATTGTATCAGCCACTGTTTATAGAATGTCAAGACAGATACTACCATATAATTATATTTATATTAAAAACAACCCTCATACAACAAATAATAAAATTATTTTCAGGCAGTAGAAGTGATTGGCAAAAACCACACAGCTATTAAGTCACAAGACTGCAATTTGAGCCTATTCTATCACCACAAAATAGTATGGTCTTCAAATCAGCCTGAGATTCCGAATACAAACACTGGAGAATATCCAAAATTGGAGATGCAAAAATAAAGGAGGGAAACAGATCCCTGGGAAACAGAAAAGATCTGACAGGAATATTAAAACCTACAGAGAAATTGAAAAAGCAGATCACTCAGAAAAGGGGAACGGGCACAGCTCTTTCTCCCCCGCTCTCAGCTCCTGGCTCATGAGAAAGACAGGCAGAATCTACACAGTCAAAGTAAAAGAGGGGACTCCAGAGGGTTTCAGGGAGAAACAAAGAAGTGGACTGGACAAGTAAACGCTGTGAGCTGCAATAGCTAGTGAGTGACTCCAACCCAAGCTTGCCCGCCACACCCTGTGCAGACAATGCTTAGTCGTACACCACTCAAGGGACAGGCTGTTTGAACCAAAGACTCAGGGCAGCCACAGGGTGGCTTCAATCTAGGGCTGCCAGGGTTTTGTTCCCACAGGGCCTAGGTGAGGGTGAGGGGCAGGCAAGGGAACACACGTGGTCAGGGAGCTGCAGTGAAGCTGAAAGAGACCTGTCAAGGGGTTTAAGGTAAAGGACAAAAGTCCCATCCCCACAACCAGAGTCTGTGCTTAGCTTGAACTGCTCTATATTTGAAAGTCACAGAATTGGTAATGTAGCCCTAATCCTAATGCCTGCGGGTGCCTGTATCCAGCATTTCTTTTTGTTGTTGTTTTGTTTTTAGTTTTGGTTATCATTTTTTTTCTGCTCTTTGTTTGTTTTTTGTGAGTGTGGGTAGTCTTTCAGTTTTTTTGATTTGTTCTATTTCAGGTTCTTTTTCTCTTCATTCCTTATCTACTTTCTTCACCAGTTTACTCAGGCTTTGGCAATTTTTCTTTGTCCTTTTTCCTTGCATATGTTTTTCTTCTTTTTTCTTTCTTTTTCTGCTTCTCCCTTTAAATTTTTCTTTAAATTTAATTTTTCTGTCTTACTTTATTCTCCATATGATTTTTTTTCTTTTTTTCTTCTTCTTTTTCTTTTATCTGCTATTTCTGGTCAGTTTTTTCCCCCAGGTTTGCCTAACTCTATAAACATCCTATTCCACAATAAGCTCTTTTGTACTGATTCTCTCTCTTCCTACTCATATCATTAAGTTTAAGGTTTCAAAGCTTTCCTCTTGCTTTCCTCCAGTCCCAAACCCTGCATCATTAATAGTACAAGCATAAAGCTTTTTTGATCTTTTGGTAGTTGCTTAACTCTATAAAATCACTACTGAACTCTTTCACACCATTAGTGAAGATGTAATTATTTCATTCAGTACACATCAGCTGCAAGTCAATACCTGGACTATCTTAATGTTTATACCTCAATTGCAGATTTCTTCTCTAGCATTAGGGTGGCAAAGAATTTGTTCTCCTGATAGGTTAATATTCCATTTGTCTTAACAGGGTCACACAGCTGTTGCTATTTTTCTGTAAAGCAACACTCAAATTACATTGGAGACATTAGCAACACTAGAGTACCTTCCCAGAGAAACTGGCAGTTGGGCTAACTACACTGCACTCTCTACTCCCCAATTAACCAAGGTAGTTGGAGACTGGGACTGTGGCAAAGGATTATACCTAGACACACCCAAAGTAATCACTCAAAAGCAATAAAATCTCTACTCTGTAAGAACCCAAAATCTCAGCCAAAATCAGAACAAAACTAACAAAGAAGCAAAATCAATAGAGATATGAGAAGACAAAGCAAAAGCATGGCTCCCAGAACTCCCAACACTCCTGAAGCCAATCCAGGGGGCTTTGAAGAGGTAAGCCACACACCCAAATTACTCAAAAAAAGAATAAGAGGAGATCAAACAGATCAAAAAAGAGACCAAACAGATCAGAGAGATACTCAGCAGGATCACAGATGATATAACTGAACAGATAATAGAGATAATAACCAAAATGTTTCAGGAGCTTCCAGAAGACACTAGTAAAAGCGAGGTGAGCTAAACAAAACAATACTGTAATGCTTTTGTCTAGATGTCCTCCCAAAGTCTCATGCAGTCATAGGTGAGGCTTTTTCAGAGATGGCCAGATCTAATGAACATGAAAA